GCTGGCGCCGGCGCGCAACCTGCGCGGTCGCTTGTGGAGAGGCGGCTCTCCCGTGGCCCGTGTTTGGTCTTGTACCGGACAGCCTCCTCGCCGGGGTCGGGAGGCTCTTGTTTGCGAATGTAGAACGTTTTAAAAGTAAGTGAAATCGAAACTCGCTCCTTCCCCGGTTACTGAGTGCATTACAAGTAAAGGGAAAATGATCCGGAGTGGGTGATAAATCTCGTGCGGGTAGTAGAAGCGTCAAAAGAAGTTTTTGTGTGGCCACAGTATTGCAGCAGTAAGAAAACATAAAGTTTTTCCGTTCAAGTTAACTTTACACAAAGAATGCATTTTTTTTTTTCTTTTATGACACGTGAGAGTGTTACTTGACCTTAATGATACCCTACTTTCTATTTAGTACTTAGAAAAGCAGGTGACATTGAAGCAACTTCTGCCTAGCAAGAATATTTTACCAGAAAATTGTTTTAAAAATGGCTAAATCGAGCTAAATAACAAGGGGAAAATAAATAGACAAGTTGTTATGGACCTAAGAGCTGCTGGTACTCTGGTTTGGTGAGAAAGAGGTCCTGCTAAACGTAGGCGCTCGAGTCCCCAGTCGTGGATCGAGGAATGGTGTATTAATGTTTGTGATGGAAAGAGGAGGCAAACCAGGTCGTACAAAATGTTAAGAGTTTATTATATTAACTGCTTATAATTTCGGTGGTTTCAGTGGCAGGAGGTATTTGCTCTACAGATGTATCTGAAGAGGATGCAGGCACCATGATAGAATACTTCATGGCAAAACTGTTTAAAATTGAATTGCAAACTTGACTTGGCATAAGTGGTGTAATAGTAAACCGTGTGCCAATGTGTTTAATTGGCTTAATAAATATTCATACGCAAGTTTAATTTTGTAGTTCTGACACTTAGAGAAGCAGTTTTACTGCTTGTTTCTGAGGTTGGTTTTGCTTTTGTTTTTAAATACTACTGGAAAGACTGACATCAGGAAGTTTATGAAAACCCCTACTTTTACTACTGCAACTTATACAAAAGACAAAAATAAGCTTTGAATAAACAACACTTTTAATCAAACCAAACTTTTAATCTTTATGACTATCAATTAACAATGGTTTTATTTTTCTTTTTAATGATTCAGTTGTTATACAAGACAGCTCCAGAAACGAGTATGCAGTAGTTGGACGTTTTCCATTGGTTGACCCTTGGTGGAAAGTTAATGTGAAAGCTAAAAAAGTGGGGTCAAAGTACTTCATGCAAGGATATCCATCATATTTTCTGCGGACTGATATAGAAGAAAACAACCGACAAGTCTTTTCACTGTTTCTTAAGGAGTGTGCTGTTCCTGAGGATTTTAAAGCAAAGTTTTTTACGTGGCTTCCTACGGAGTCTATGCTGAGTTTTAGAAATCTTGAAGAAAAACTAAAACAGTTCCAAGTTTCACACTTACAGACAGGGAAGAAACAGAGAGACACCAAGGATTATGACATCTTCTACTATGTTTCGCAATCATGTGGGTATATCCTGTGCTATTTTGACTGATTTATAAGCTAATGAGTTCTATCTCAGATACTGCGTTCAAGCTAACATGTCTTCATATGAAGTGTATATTCAAATGAATTTTGAACATGCAAAGATTCTTCTTTTTTTTTTTCTTAAATTTGAGGTCAGCTGTCAGTGGGACAGCTGACCAATTAAAGATAGGCATACAGTTAGAAACACATAAGGACTTACCTGAATTCTGTAGGCTTACTAAGTAGAATTGTCTGTGCTAGGGATGCAAAAACACTGGTGCTGGCTTCCTGTAGTTTACTGAGATACAATAAGGCTTATTGAAAAATGGGTTCAGCACTGCTTAAACATGGTGATATGGCTTTTTAGGACAAATATGTGTTCAGAAATAGTATAGCTGCTTCTTTGTGGTGCAGGGGAAAAGCGAATGAGCTCAGCGTAGTCCAAATCAGCTGCACTAAATAGGCTGTCTAAGTGTATTTGAAGCCTGCCCATCAGCAGGTAGGTATGGTTGGGTAGCAGGGTGTGGAAATACTGGAGTGTCCCCCCATGGAGATGGTTCAGGACTGCTGAGGATCCTGTTGTGGAGTATGTTGGTGTGACTACAGGAATGTTAGAGATTGGATCAGGAGTGAGCTTTTGAAGCAAACATCCCTCTTGTGCACCCCATTGTGGTGCAGTCTCTGAGAGTGTTGGCTGTGAAACCCAAAAGGTGTGTTCCAGTTGCACACCTAAGGTACTCCAGCCCTAATGGGCATTCAGGCTGTGGGACGAGGCTATAGCTGGTCTGAAGCAAAACACCGAAATACAGAAAGTCAAGACTTCTGGGATGTGTCTTCAGCCCTAGCTCTTTTGTTTTGCTCTGATGATCTGTTTCCAGTATGCCACATTCCTGATGTGGACGTAGGCAGTCCTGGGTTGGTGCTGTACAGAGCCACTTAGGCGTCAGTGCTGTGGGACTCAGTACTCTGAATTGGAGGAGGTCTTTTAAATTCAGCCGCAACTGTGCATAAATCTGTACAGACAGGTTGGGTCTATCTACGAAGCCTTCCAGTACCTGGTTTGCTGGGCAGTGACAGATCAAAAGGTGGAGGTGACTCTTTTGGAGGGCAAATCATGTCTGACAGGAGAGTTCATAGCTTCTGCTAGACTTTACTCCAAATCACATGTGTAAGGAGAGAAAAATTTTCACAGTTCTATGGACTTAAGGCATTTTGTTGTGTTTTTGTAACGGTACAAGTTCTTAATCCCTGTTTATGGACTTTAAATCTGTTCATGACAAAGAGATGGGAATCTGTAGTGGTAGAAACTCAGATCTAGTTTGCTGCTTGAGTTTTAATGGGATACGTGGATCGCTTCTGATTGAAGCTTGCCTAATATGTTTATGAATCTTTGGTGTTGAAGATTGCAGTGTGCCTAGGTACCCTGTTCTTGTAGTTGGCAGATTTTTCCTAATATCTAACTTAAATGACTTTGACACAAATTAAGCTTTCTTCTTTATCGTTGGGCAATAGAAACAAGAAGCCACACCCTGTATGTCATGTGATTACTATTGTCACTGTTTCCTGGTTGTCATTGTTATGGGCTTGAGCAGTTTGTTATTCAAGCCTTAGTGATATTTTTGTCTGGAAGTAGTGTGTGTTGATTCTCCACTTGTAAATTAAGTATGTGCTTCGAAGGGAACAGGTTTCATCTTTGCCTTTCTGTAGTTAAGACAGTGATCAGAAAAAGCACTTAACTGAGAAAAATGGGTGTTTTAAATTTGGAATGACAAAGTTTCCTTAACGCTCTGTTAAAAATTGCAATTTTTTTTTTTTTCTGTGAAGAGATAAAACTTAATGTAAGTCTCACTTTCTTTTAGAATTTGTTTTTTAAAGCAAGGTATAGAGCAAATCAGTTTCATTATTCCCTTTTTGCAGATCCCAAGACTGATACAAACAAAGAAAGTGATAGCTTAAGTTTGGGGTCATTGAGAAAGCCAGTGGAGAGCACTGTTTTCCTGAGTTCCTGTACTGATCTGATACTACAAATTTAGAAGCCTGTTTTCTTATTTTGGATTTTACGTATTCTTCTGTACATCTGTATGAAAATTATCTTCAGATAATGCAGGCATGGTGACGTCTGAACTGACGTTGTAGAAAATGCTATTGAGTAGGCAGTTTAAACCAAATGTATAATACATATTTTCCAAATGAGTACATTTAGTTGCAGTTTTTATCTGTCATCTGTTTACATTTTTTTTTTCCCCAAGGCAGTCCAGGGAAAACAGACTTTAAAAGAATTTGAAAAGGATTACAAAGAATAAGAAACTGAAAGAAATTAGGGATATTTTGGATGTAGGGGAGGCAGAAGGATAAGAGCCAGAGACAGTTTAAATTGTCTTTACAAATATCTTTATACACTGCTTAAAAGTTTCTTGGTTTATGGTGCATACAGTTGCAGGAAAGGCAGTATTGGTAGCTCTGACTTTTCCGATGATACTGGAATTCTTGCCAATTCTTCTGCCACGCCATTTTTGCTGTCTGTTGAATATGGTGTGTTGGCCAAGAAAGACTGAAGTAAACAATGGTGCGGATGGTGAGGAAGTACATTTTCAAGACAAGATGCTAACAAAGTTGGATGAGATATTAAATAATGAGCCATGGAAACTTGGATTCAGCAGGGTAAGTAATGTTAAGCAGGGTAAAAAATGTGGTTGTTACATTTGAGCTTCGTTAGAATACAGCACTGTTTCAGTTATGTTCAGTTTATTAACTGGGCACTTGTAGGAGGTAAGCTTAGTTCATTTGGAAATGGATGATTTACTGGACTTGGTTTTAGCAGAGTTTTTTTTTTTCCAGTTGGTCTACAATAAATCAGTCTCAGAAGATTTTAAAGGTGGTTTTGTTACAACCATTTGCTTAGTCTTTTCTACAAGGAACAGAAAATTAAATACTTGAGGTAATTGGGCCAAAAGTAAGAAAACTAATATAAACCCCTCAATTGTACTGTTCAGTTTTATACTGGCAAATGAGATTTTCTGTTCTTAATACATAGAACAGTACCTATGCTTTCATAGTGAGGTATATAAGTTACTCTCTAATAGGTCATCTGGTCTAGTTGCTCTCCTTTTTTATAACGGGATTTGCGGTTGCTGCTTACCTTCTTGTTTTCCTTTGCTACGCTTGCTGTGCAGCTTTGCTGCTGCACCTCACCTTAGCACTCCTGTACCTCAGATGGGAGCTATAGCTTAATAGTTCAGAAATGCAATTAGTTAATCCCTCTGCTTCAGCCCCCAATGCTTTTACTGACAGATGTTCTGACTTGTCTTTAAGACCTCCAATTTCAGAGATTCAGCAGTCTAGCCAATATATTCCAGTGTTTCACATCCTTTCCTTTAAAAAGCTTTTCCTGATGTCCAGTTTGACTACTCCTTGATGCAGTATAGACTTGTTGCTTTCTTGTTTCTTGTACCAAGGACCTGCATTCTCACTGCAGGGTTTTTTATTGCTTGAAGACTCTCTTTAGCTTTTTCTCTTAAGG